GTGGAGGACTATCATGCAGTGCGTGCATGTTACAGTCGAGATCCGTAAGTTGGGGTAGGCGTGTCACCGGAAGTGACGTGGACTTGATAGAGGTTGCGTAGGTAAGTCGCTGCCAGCATGCTTTGCTGATATCTCGCGATATATATTGGAAGCACCTTATCCACATAGATTCTATCAAGTACACGTCACTTCCGGTGACACGCCTACCCCAACTTACGGATCTCGAGTATACATGGGCTAAAAAATACATACTAATGGTCTTTGAAGTTCTTGATGCCAAATTCGCCACCGCGTGCAGCGAACCACCAATTACTACAGGAGAGGCACAGAAGCAAGATGCGTGTGTAATGAAGCGTCAACTCTAGAAGCACACGTGATTAGGATCAAAATCTGCATTTTGTAAAGCTACATTGAGCGACATACTTCGCAACGCATAATCTGCTTTAGATGCTGCTGAAGGAGCCAGAATAAAAAAAAGCAAACCAAGGCAAATATCATGCATTTGAATAAACATATCGAAGAAAAACCCACTCCGCCTTCAACTGGCGTGAAAAAATCAACGACTGCTCGTGCCCTCAGCGTTGCCCAAATAAGTTTGTTTGAATATACGCATTTTCGGAGCCGGTTGTGTAAAGACTGCAACGAATGAGATAACATTATATCAACGACCTGCAACCCTGTTGGGCCTTGGCTTGATCAGAACTCCGCTCCCTACTCTTCATCACTCTCTAACTTCTCTACTTGTAGCTCTTTATTGAACAACATTTTTCCAGGAAGTACAGAGTGGAGGAGCGGCTCCTAACCTTCTCGTATGGTTAGGTAGGTGTCAGACTCGGCATTTGCCGCACAATCACAACAGCAGATGCGGCCCCTGACACCTACCTCATAGACCTCCACTCTAAATCAAGTAGCGGAGCCCGTGCCCAGTGCGGGGCATGTTACATGGGCTAAAAAATCGATACCAGATGGTCTTTGAAGTTCTTGATGCCAAATTCGCCACGCGTGCAGCGAACCTCCAATTACTACAGGAGAGGCACAGAAGCAAGATGCGTGTGTAATGAAGAAGCGTTTAGAGTGGAGGTCAACTCTAGAAGCACACGTGATTAGGATCAAAATCTGCATTTTGTAAAGCTACATTGAGCGACATACTTCGCAACGCATAATCTGCTTTAGATGCTGATAAAGGAGCCAGAATAAAAAAAAGCAAACCAAGGCAAATATCATGCATTTGAATAAACATCGAAAAACCCACTCCGCCTCCAATTGGCGTGAAAAAATCAACGACTGCTCGTGCCCTCAGCGTTGCCCAAATAAGTTTGTTTGAATATACGCATTTTCGGAGCCGGTTGTGTAAAGACTGCAACGAATGAGATAACATTATATACATCAAATTGAGGCGGTTTAAAAGACCGAGTTCAAAGAGTCCGTCAACCCCCAATCACCATACCCATTAATAACGACCACAGATTGAATGCAACCCAGTCGTGAGTGACGAATAATTCTAAAAAGGAGAACCAAACTCAATGTTTGCCTGGTGTCAGAATTGCTACCCGATAGGGATGGGTCGGAATTAGCCTAGGTTATGGTTAGGGGATACTCAGCATCAGGTCGTAGGGCATTGCCTGGCAATTTCAGCCATTCCAGCGACTTCCGTGATTCAAACAACTTCAGCAATCGTGGAAAACCTAAGTCCGACATCGGCCTACCATGACTTCGCTCACACCTAGTGCCCACTGTTGTTTTAAATTCTCAACCCACCTACCGTCTGCGCTAGATGTCCTACCCAACACCACATAATGAGAAAGTCACCAACAAGGGCCACCGTGTGATGCTGTCCCATAGAAATGGCGTCTTGTCTTTGTGGTACGCCCCATTCGTATACGTCAAAATTGGAAGAATGTGTGCCAATAACGACAACGTGCCAAAAGAGGCTGGGCTTCGACTCGCACGCGTTCGGTGCAACACAACCCCGGTTTAGGGGCGACATAATAATAGCTCTAAACACTCCAGGATAGTTAGCACAGGCACGGAGATCTCAAAAAAGAAAAGGATCTCGACCACCGGCAATTAAAAAAAAATTCCAAATTCAAAGGTATGCATATTGGGTGACGCAGGTTAAGATAAAGGCAACCACTTGCAGTGACACCAAGTCAACTTCAACTAAGGAGAATAGAGGTAGAAGAGATATCTTAAGCGACTGACACTATTGTAGCAAGAACTTATGATTCAGAAGCATTTATTCTACATATATTTGACTTCATAGGGGTGAAGAACCCAAACGCTAGTGGTACAACTTGAGAAATGCCTTTCATAACAAAGTATAAGAGTATCACAATCGACTCGTAAGAGCAACTCAAAACTCCACAAACAGCAAACAAGGGGTTTCAAGTTAATTAATGCCAGCTCCAAAATTGAGCATAGTAAAGCTATATCCGCTTAAAACAGTGCATCGAAGTAAGACTAAAACATGGAAATCAACTATGACTAGACACTGGGTGTAATGGATCACTCATCAAACAATTCAGATCTCGGTAATGTCAAGCATTTCAATAAACTTCATCAAGTTACTGCTTGAGACCTATATTTCATATTATGTGAGACATAACGCAAAAGTGCGCAATTTTCAAAAATCTAAGCGTTTTAAGCATGAGATTATAAAAGGCAGTAAAGGATTAGTCGTTTCTGCAAACACAGCACAACACTAAATACTGAACTTGGCCATTCTTCGAAGAGGATTATTTGGTCTTTTTATCGTTCTTCTTCCACTTCTTATCATCGACAAGATCGTCATCAAGTTTCTTCTTTCCTGAATTCGCCTCTTCTCTGGTCGCATCCACAGCTCTGAACAATAGTAAAATTTGATTCGAGATGAATACTCGTACTTTACAGAATAGGTATAGCATAGAACAAGATCGGTTCTGGTGAGGTTTCTTTGAATATACGAGGTGTTCCAGCGGTTAAGAAAGGCGGTGACGAAGAAACAATTTCAAATTTACATAAGCATAAACAACTAGAAGAAGTGACATAAGCTCGCCGAATACGACGCATGCTCTTACGCGTAATCACTGGTCTCTTCGTAACAAGAGTCCTTAGAGGCCATGGTACTGCACCTACTGAGGGATCCAGGCTGGAGTGTGACACTCGGATGTCCCTGCTCCAATCAGCCTGCACTTGGTTTGCTTAAGGTGACAAACAGCAATGCATTCGAATTGAAACTGTAACATCATGGTTCTTTTTCTCTCTTAAATGCACTGCTACATCAGCCCTCGATTAGTAACAGACTAGTTGTCGCCGTTTAGAAAAAGGTCCAGTTTTGAGTTTCCATTGTAGTTACCTGATCATTTATTTACAAGAACAAACATGACATCTCCCCGTTCACATATCCTAATGGGATCACTTTATCTAGAGAGAAGTAACCTTTAGGCCGAGAGTCCGACACAACGTTTTTCAATAGACGCCAATGAACACAATATAGACTAAAAAATACCCAAGGATTTTGCTCATCGCTCAAAAACCTACCTATTCCTACCTGAGACTAAGATTACATGGACAGTATTTACGGCAGCAAGATAACTTCTTTTATGAGACTATTCCAGCATTGTTCGATTTCAGCAACTTTTTGAAAAAAAAAAAACGTTTGCTATGTGCTGCAAAACTCTACGCTGGAAATGATGACTGCAATTTATCACGCTCCATCTTCGAGATCGTGGAATTTGCGGTTACTAGAAAAACACCAGACACTGAAGCTAGAGATGGTTCCTGGCCAGTGTTCCTGCAGCTATTCGACATATGGCCTGTACTAGACTTCAGAATGAGAGGCAGAATTCAAATGAGAGAAATAAGGGGAAAAACGAGGAAAAATACAAAAGGCTCTCTATACTCAGCGGAGTAACTCGAAAACAAAACAAACACCAAATCTCCATAAAGATCGAAATCAAAGAAAGTCAAAATACGAAAAAAAAACGAAATGTCATCACATACTTGTAAAGCGCATCATAAATTCCTCCCATGAATACGGCGCAGAAAAGATTTTCAATTGGAGCAAAAGGATCCGTTACTCCAAGCAGGAGAGCGGAGAGTTTGAAATAGATGAAAAATGCAACAACACACTGAAAACAAACTGTGTATTCAGATACAGCACATGTATTAAAGAGATGACTCACCAAGTAAACGAGATCGTGAGGAGCCGTAACATACATACTATTTCTTTCCAGTGTAAACACTAACGAAGCTACTACACATGCCTTCGTCGTAAATGATGGACGCAACATTTCATGTTGAGAAGGAACCCAAGAACCTCTTACAACCTGAATAATGCCTTTTCGGTTACATGAAACATCAAAATGGCGCATTTGTGACACTAGCCAGAAATTCTAAATTACATTTCAAACGAAACTCCCGGATTCGCAAATTCAATTATTAAAAAACTTACAAGTCTTAAGGATAGCTGCTGAATTCTTAACACAAGTTTCCTTATTGATAGAAAGCACAGTGAAGAGTGAAAACGAAACATACCTGTTCAACAATCTTCACAATTCCTGACCCACAACCTTTCGAAACTCCTACCAAGACTTGAACCATATAGGATTCCGAATACAACTTCGTTGCATATGCGACACCATGAGATATCTGAAGACAGCGTTATATCATACAAACTTATCGCTTTGCGATGACAATAACAAACTTCTATTGAACCAGGGCTGATGAAGCTATGATAATTCAATGCCGCGTGCCGCACCGGTGAAATACAAAAATTCGATTTTGCAAATTTCGAGCACGAAAAACAAAAGGAGTCCACCATTTACAAATTATTTCAAACAAAAAGAATGCCATTCCCAGCTCAGCTGCGTTTTTCAAAGAACCATATAAAGTTCCAACAGAAATTATTGAAAAGTACCTTATGAGCTCGTTGCACTTCTTTGACAACGCATACTAATACTCCTACTAGCTTGATGCTGACCACTTTGTGAACTAAATCGAAGGGTGAGTAGAAAACAGAATACCACACGATGGAAGCCTGTAAGTGTGACAATTAATGCTACTGTTTGAAGTTAGCTAGCGCACACAGAAGCAGCGTTATAGCTTACCGCACAAATGCAAAGTATCATCAACTTTCAACGTTTTGGATGGGATGGAACGAAACTAACCAAAATAACATCGTCGTGCCTCCGAAACGGTGTTATGACTGGTTCGCCAAGTAAAAAACATGCGAGAAATCCACCAGCGAAGCACATCAACATAGAAGACAACCAACATGAGAAAGGATGTCGCCGCGAAAACGCTAGTGCGTTCATGCCCAGCTCCTGACGCACCTGCTCGCACATCTTGAAACGAAAGCATATCACTTTCTTTTTTCTATATTTCCACCAAGATCTTTCTCCAATTTTGCCCAAAATATCGCAAAATATTCTATAAAATTACACTATTTTATTTAGATAAAGTCTCGTTCCGCAGCAGCCGTCACGACTTCTCATTCTCTGCCAATGTTTTGCGCCTGCCACTTTGAGGTCGACACTGGAGGGGGAGCGTAAGCACAAAATGGGTGTCTTTTATAGTGACAAAGTCTCATTCCAATCATGAAACCTCCTTGGAAGGAACCTCAACACTGATTTTTAGCCCGGGTTTGTTGACGGTTGACTTCACTCTCCCCTTCTCCCCCACCTCTCCCTATATTCTCCCTTATGGCGACAGACATGAAGAATGGTCAAAACCATACTTAGTGGTATTTGTTACAGCTGAATGGCTGATCAGCATCACAACTTCATGCTAGACGATGACTAGCTCAACATTGACCTTGTAGAACTTCTTTTATTAACGTTTTATTCGCTCCCTAACGGTGGTTCAGCCAGCCCAAATTGAAAAAGAAAATGAAGATAGCATACTTTCGCAAAGCACATAGCGCGCCACGTGGCATATATGAATGAAAATAATTATGTCGAGGTATTCTGAAAACCAAACGTTCCCCACTGATATCAATTGTATGAAAAAATTTTGTAAATATTTTAGTGATAGGAAGAGGAAATCTCCCTCAAATCTACTGCTAAAATACGGACAAATTTTTTCACTCAATAGATACAAAGGCGGGAACTCGTCACCTCTTCATATGCCACTCCCCTAGAACCATAACTAATAGCTTAGGGGTTTTCGTATGGTTTCAAGTTTGAGTAATCGAGTGAAAAATTCATAGATCAGTTAAAAATCGGGCGTCTTTCAAACTATTAAAAACTGTAAAAACATGTACAATTTGCCCCTAAATCCGTCCATTTGGTCAATGGCCAAAAATCAGATCGAACACCGGTTGTAATCCAATTTGTTCGAATTCACTGCTGTCCGGGATCCGTACCACCCAGAAAACGACTCAAAAGGAAGAAAAATCAATTTGGTTACAACTCCAGTGATGATATTGTTTCTACAGGGAGCTCATGAAAGACTCGGGTCTCGTACGATAAGGGTGGGGATGAGACAGTTGCTGTTGCAGCCATCTACAGGAATTTCAATTTTGGAGGAAAATTGGGAAGGAAAATTTGGGAGGAAAATTCCAGGATGTGTGAACTATAACAGCTTCCGCCTGTACACCCACCCCGGAGCTTCCCTCCATGCAAAAAATTGGATAATTGAATTGATGAACTACCACACCACATGCTTCCCCTTATTGGATTAGATCCGCGACTTTATGTAGGTATTTCAGCATAAAGGAGCTCCAGACCCGAATTTTTGAACTGCGTTTCATAAAATTATTTTTTGTTTATGAAGACGTACTCGACAGCAGAAACAATTGCATAACTTAATATAAAAAAGAAATATATCAAACAGGAAATCCTAACACCAACTATGAACTCACCAGTAAATAGTGAGCAATGTCGAAATACGGATACATCCGTAGCTTTTGCAGTGCTCCACCTGCACTTATGAGGCTGTCATGGTCCATTTCCCAGTCCAGCGACCACATTTCGACGACCTGCAGGAAAAGTGCACCAGATGTCAGGTGTCAGGGTGGCAGCGGAAGAAAAAATAACGGCAAGTGACACAACGATGTCAACTCTTCTATGCGTCCTTCGTTTCTCTAATTTTGCCTGATTTCAAAATGCTATAAACTATATAGGTGGACTGCTTTTCCAGAAACATATAAAGAAATGAGCCAATTCCATGGGCAAAACAACAGAAGGACCTCAACAGTAGGTAGGAAAGGCGAAATCGCGGTATCGGATGTAGTGCAAGACGATGACGCAATCGCGTAGTGTAATGTCAATGTGCTTGTGTGCTCTGTGGTGCAATTAATGTTTGAAAACATTCATACAACGCAGTGGTAGGTAAGGCTTCCGATTTCGAATTTCTCACAAAATTGAACCTTAAAAATACCCAATTCTGCTTTCGGAATGACAGGAATCGTTATTCTAGTTATTCCGCATGATTTTCTTTTTCTTTTCTTTAACGTCAAAATAAATTTTTTAGCACGGGCCTCAGGAATCAATCGAATACTTCCAATAAGCAAACAAACGGTTATATTGACATAGAGGCGATACGATTTCAATGAAGACTTGGTGGAAGGATCAATACCTAAGCTGCACATGTGACAAGTACATGAGCAGAGCTGGGCTCCAAACATTGCTAGTACAAACCTTTCGAACACTAGAACCGGCTGCAAAATTAATACTGGAAGTACTCAAGGGTGCGTTTTTTTGATGCGCCTTATTTTCATCTAAATTGGATAATACCAAATAAGGCGTAATTGAAGTTCATCAAATTAGTTCATCAATTATAAAATTAGTCTCGGCCCATTGATTAATCCAAAAATTAGATAGCGCCTGTGTGAAGCATGTTGGAGGACGAAATCATAGAAAATAAGAATTACCAAGTCAAAAGCGAGAAGGAAGCGTGACGAGAAGAAGAGAGATGTCTTTTTCAGCAGGCTCAACATTTCATTAATTCGCTGAATAACTTCCATTGGAGTTCTTTTGTAGGCTGGCCACGCCCAAATTCCGATAATCGACGAAAACTCGCTGTGGTTCTGAAAGCCAAGTAACATTGTCGTTTGACGGTTAGTTTTACCTTGTAAAGAGAACAAAAAAGAACAAAAAATAAGAATTAAGATTGACTTAAACGAACTGCTTACCCTTTTGGAAATTAGCCTTTTGTGTGGCGCACATGTTCGAAACAGGGCGCGTTGTGTGGCTGATCTTTGTAGAAGAGACAAGCGCAAAGTTCATGAATTTCCCTAAGTTTACTATTTTTCTGCATTGAAAATTATTCAAGGCTTTCATCGCGGAGACTTCACTGAATGTTTCCTTTTGAGGTAAGATTCTGATCGTACGAGGTTGGAATTTGACAGTGGGCGTTGAGACATCTCTCAACACGGTCCAATGCTAGTGGGACAGCCATGCCGATTTCTTGAATACGATAGGCGCAGAATGTACCCTCCCTTTCAAAAAACGAGAAGAGCGTCGGGTGCAGACCATACACCACAAGTGACGACGGCCTCCAAGTAAATCTGGTTAGTAGTGGTTCATAGCTGATTTTTGGTAAATGATAGTTGTAATTAGTGACAACTGATAGAATACAACTGCAACAGGCTAATCATTTCATTGGCAGAAAACATTTACATTTTGTGGAGGCCGTCGTCACTTGTGGTGTATGGTCTGCACCCGACACTTTCTCGTTTTTGAAGGGGGAGGGGCGGTATTCAATCCTTCCCCCAGGGGGATATATCCCCCCCCTCTGATTCAATCCTCTGGGGGGACAAAAAAGGGTTGCGTCATAGGACCTAGCATACCTCTGTGTTTCTACCTGCCAGACAGTTAGAGCAGCGCGACCCCTCAGGGAAAAGAGTGCTTCATCAGGGGAGTAAATGTGAGTAGGGACTTGTGCCCACTGCTATGACGTAATGGACGCTATGGAAGTAACTCCACACATCCAGCGCTTCACATGCACTTAGTGACTGGCAGCATTCCCCCCGCCCGCCTCCAGGATTGGCTGCATTTCCTCTCGCTGTACGATTCTTCGTTTCATGACACATTATTGCCAGTAGACACCAGTCCCTTTGTAGGTACATACATTTAGCGCCTACAGATTCAAAAAAAATCGGCATTGCTGTCCCACTTGGCATTGCACCCTTAATACATTTATGACAGTACGCAATCCGGATTTACGACCGCCAGAGATAGCCGCGACATCGCGAGCTCGAGAGCCGCACCCGTCAATCATGCTGTCCCACGCGGTCCACAAATTACAGTCTGGTGTAGTTACTTCCTTCAACACGTTGACGAGCGTAGCGATATCATAGCAAGAAATGTTGAAGCAGTGCGCGCATAACGGCGGTCGTCGGTGCTAACTTAGTTGGGGGGGACCACGCGGCGGCGCGGCGCTCTGTTCGTCTGCTCCTCTAAGGCTTAGTCCAAGGGGCAGTTACTATTTCGTCGCCACGTGGCAGTTTCGAAATACGCGCCATCGGCGGACTAAGCCTTGGAGGAGCAGACGAACAGAGCGCCGCGCCGCCGCGTGGTCCCCCCCAACTAAGTTAGCATCCAGCATCTGGTCGTCAATGTGTTCTGAAAATTGGATACCAAATGCCGCCTCGGGGGAACAGGGAAACAGCCAAAACAAAAGTTTCAAAGCCTGGAATCTTTTTGTTGACTTAAAAAGTGGGCAAACACGATGCATGAGGCGGTGAGCGATTCAGTAACGTCGAACTGGCAAAACTTCCAATATTTCGATTTCTTCACTCGTTTTTCATGGAAGTTTTACAAACTAGTCGACATTTTGAATTACGATTGGAGAACCAGCATTCGAGATTTTTCATCATTTCTTAATACGAAACATCGGGCTCGGTTCCAGCTGCTCGGCTGAATTACGCCGTAACAGCACTAGGGGATAGGTACATACTATCAAACTGTTGCCGTCGCTCAGCTGGTTCTGGGCGCATTCATAGTGGTCGTCCGTTTCGTAACGATCGTATACAGTACGCATCGTCCAATCCCAGGTCACTTTGACGATCGATACCGCACCTCCCAATGTTGTGCGATCATTACGATCGGACGACCTACTATAAATGCGCCCACTGACTGCGCCAATGAGCGACACAGAAGCCTACCAACTTCGCGGCTTGCCTATAGACATGACCTTTTGCCAGGGCCTGCAAAACACATTGCTTTAATTTACAACATATTTTATTTATTATAATAACACTATAGTCAGCACATCAAGAACTGTGTGCATACTCCTTGAGGATGAATAGTTCGAAGAAGTAATCTCACGACTGCACGTAGCGCTGTGAAAGGATAGTCGTCTACGTAACTGCCTATAGAACTGTAGTACGGTAAGTACAGTTGAGCTGAAAGTAGTATTTCAGCAAACACGGCTATTTATAGCGGAAACTGTTAAGCATACCAAACGTTTGGAATCCATCCAACAATGCGTCCAGCCTCTTTGGAATAGAAGTTTTTATTTGAGTGAGAAAGTTACTGCATGCCAGACACAATGAATCAACCTCCTGCACCTTTGGCGATTCAACCCCAGCAAGCCTGTGCTGGTGGTGGTGGGCGCTCCGGTTCCTGGATTTAGTGGATTCAGGAGTGTTGTCCCAGCTACGGGGTCACAAAACGTTGACAAAAGAAAAACAACATCTATAAGAAGTAAACCTTCTTGGCCCCGCATTGCTCAGCGATATGGATGCACAACAGGAATATGAGGAAGCGAAACACCAGAAACATGTAGGGAAACGCAGAAACGTCGATATCAGAACGAGTTTCGCAACGATCAACTTCCCGTTTGTCGCGTCACTGTACAAGGAGACATTCCAGTTGATGCACTTGAAGATTCAAACAGTACATTTAGTGTATTCATGGTATCGATTAATTTTAGAATTTTTCAGCGCCTACTGTTCTCGAAAAAATTCGCATTGTATGAACGGTAGTAACATTTTTTCACTACTCATGAACTTATTGACCTTATTGGCTTACAACCAGTATGGACAATTGCATATACCCGAAAGGTGCCGACTTCTCGGCTTCTTCTTGGGATATGACGTGGCTGCTCCTACTCTTCCCGGACATACACCCTCTTGTGTTGTCGAAGGTTGAGTAGACGATTTTTCTATGTAACCGATTGTTTTTGCCTTATCTGCCCAAGAATTGTGACCAGTCGGTAAGACATGTGAGTATCTAAGGATAAAAATAAGCTTAAAGTGACATTTTCGGTTCACAAATCCGGAAAAATGTTGGAATTTATTAGTATTACATTTGTTTTTGGTGTGATTTCACGAATTCATCCAATCTAAACAACCCAAAAGATCAAAGTAATTGCGACTGATACCTTTGTCGCTCTCAAAGTACATACGCCGAGAGTGCGGCGATGTGAAGGTGACGTGACCTAGGGAGAGAATCGCACCCTCTCAACATTTAGAAATAGGGTCAACGTCAGCTACAGACCCAAAAGGTCGTACCCTGGCAGAGGACGTTGGCCGGTGCGGTGTTATAAGTTTACACCGTCTACAAAGCGAGGAGAGAATTCTTTGTAGACTATCTTGTGTGGTCGATTGGGGAGGACATTGGGTCGCGTTTCATGGTTCCAACCCACCAGGACAACCGGGGAAACTTTGCATTCCCGGAAGTAGTTCAGCTGGCTGTTACGCATCCAAATATCGCCGCGATCTTGAATGAAATCGTCAACATGGCGCACCTCGAGTGGATTCCAACACCAGCCACTTTTTCCCTATTTCTCTTTCATTCGTCTAATCTCGCTTCGCATTTTCAAAATTTTCATTATATTTATCCTGAGATATTGGAAAGCTCACCAAACATTGGGATGTTCTTTGCGAAACGATCGTAAAAAGCGATCGAGTGCATTTGCAGCATAGAAAAATTTCAGAAAATGATCCAGTCTACTCCTTCATGGGAGTGATAGTGCCACGTTCATTGGAGGCAAAGCTTCGCAAGAATACTGGGTTGTGGACAAAAAGTTTCGCCCCAGACGGGACTCGAACCCACACCTCTTGCTTACCGGGCTACGTGCGTTACATTCTTGTGATACTTTCGCAAGGCGGACTGCGCCAAAAACCGCAGTTAACGATCAAAAACGAAGTCGTTCAAAATTTGGATGCAAATTTTTGGAATTTTGATCTGTTAGAAATATTGAGGTTGCCTTCTCTTTGCCTTTGTCAAAACATTCTCTAAGCCCGGATCATGTTCACATGCTTGCATAATAACGACTGAACGCCAAACGCGTGGCGATTTCCAAGGAACTGATCTGCTATGCACGCTCTAGTGAAGCTTACTAGGCAATAGAAGGCTTTGATGGTACCTTGTTGCGCACGCCTCTTACTATTCTGGTATGCTTCACTTAGCAGCAAAGCGCAAATATTGTTAGGTAACAAGATAATTCGTTGTTAATAAAAGCTTCAAATATAATATACTGAAAGGTCACCACAAATCAGCTAAGCAAATAGAGAAAATAACTATTTACAAGAGAAAACCACATAATCCACTTGAAAAGATCGAAATTGAAAGCTGGCCTACAACCAGTGGTTATGACCTCTTGTTTTTTCTCCAGCGTGCCCCATTTATCGCGTGCTGAGATCGGTGGGGACAAAGATTAGCGGGGATGAAACGAAGCGTTCTAAAGCGGTTTTAGATAGTTATCGTTCATTAGATCCTCTTCTATATTTTACTGCCAACATTTACAAAGTCTCATTTTCTTCCAGTGAGTTTCTTCGAGCAAGGTTTTTTTCGACTCACGTAAGCCTCAGAAGGTAGCCGTTGGAAACAAGCTCTCGATCAACTTCACCCATGAAGTGGTGTACTGAAATTTTCAAGGTTGTTTCGAGGTTCTTCTCCTTTTTCAGATGAAATTCAACAGTTTCCGTAGTGAGTTCTCTTTTTCGCATATTCATCATATGTGGGAGTATCTAGCATTACAATGCATTTTTTGGGAATACCAGAAAATCGCAAGGGCGCCATGGTGGTGATTTTGAATGAGTGTCCGAGCCATATGCTGATACTTAGGGGGTGAGAATCGGTTTAAGCGGCTGTTGTAAGCTGTTTTTCATCTACATTTCTTAGGACAACAATTTGAAGCGGCGTGAGGGCTCCATCGAAGCTCACGCTGCACCCTGCCAATATGCCATACGGCTTGCGAGCAATTAGGCTGGTGACAGAGGCCGCGATCCGTCGCGCGATTCGACGGATCGCAGACTCTGACACCAGCCACAGGTTATCTACAAGCTCACGAGCAACTAGGCTACAATTTTACGGGTATGTTCATTCAGACGAATCACCAAATGTCTCTACTCTGCCGCGTCTATGGCGTATAATGGATACTAACCATAAGTAGCCTGGTAAACGGCATAAACTGCTTTGATCGTGGGCGATGGTTTACTGGCTGCGCCTATTTCCTCGATAAATCG